TGACAAAGGATGATAGTAATTAAATTGTCGTATGGGCTGTTGGTTCATATCCAGTTGGATGTGAAGATAGTGAGATTGAGATAGTTTTATTTGTACCAATTAAGTTGATTGATAGAGATCCTGAAACTCAAGCTATTTTTGAGAGGGATGGTTTTTATTCTGTAGGTTGTAAGGTTGTACCTGGATATTATGGAGGTAAAAAAGACTGAGGGTATTGTAAATTATTAGTAATGATTATTAAATGATGCAAATTAAAATTTAAAATATTTATCTTTTTTTTGAATTTTTAGATGACAGTTTTGATTTCAACTGTTATGAAAATTTTAAATAATGTTGATATATCAAATAAATATCCATTAAAAGTTTTCTTAATCAGAATTCTTAAGGAATTACTAAAGGTATTGAAGAACAATGAAAATGTGTTTTTAATATATTAGTAAATAACTTTATTGATCAGGAGCATAATTTTATAGTTAAAGTTGTTTTTCCACATTCTAATTCGCGTTTTGGGCATTTGAAGAGCACAGTTCATCCACATGATTCGATTATTTTCGTTGTTGATTAGTTGGAAGTTATTGATAATGATTATTATATCTATGTGAAGGATATTAATTTCATTGATATTAATCATTTTAAGCGGAAAATTTTGGATGATTAATTTGACTAGGTCGAAACTGCTTTTTACTCATCATAATGTTAATGAAACTTGAAAGATATCACTAAGGTTGAGAGTTCATCTGCTGCGGTTTTGAATAATTATTTATCGTCGATAAGTGGTAGTTCGAAATGTGCAAGAATTGAAGATGATGAATCAATAGATTGTTTTGATGGTATTGATAGTAGCTATTTAAGGTCTGGTGAAGCTAATATGTTGAATGAAGCTGTTGAGAATAAAGTTAGATGTGAGTTAGGAAGTGAGGAATGTTCAGAAAAATTTGTGTGTAGTAGTAAGAAAGGAAAGGATTACGCAGGTTGTTCTTTGTGTACAGCTTTGAGGTCATATAAGTATAGTCCAGGTGTTACTTATAGTGAGGAGAAGTAATTGTTTTGCTTAATCTTTATTTGTATGTAGTAGTTAAGATGGTTATGAATTTGATATGATGTTTGTATTTTAATATATACATTGTTGAGTATGTTGGATTTGTTTTGTTTTTCA